CTCGGAGTGTCTGAAAAAGGTAGCATTGCTCACCTCAAGAAGTCATTTACATAATCGTTGAAAAAACATGATGCCCACAAACAGGTGCCGCTACACCTCACCGTTGCGTAGCGTCATGGGGGAAAAGCAGTAACAATCACATAGAGGTAGATTACTAGAGGGAGCTATGAATACAGAAACACTGAGCACCGTCGACAGGCAAGTCTCCTTACCTTAAACCAGTCTATTTCTTCAGCGATCTGTGTCCCGCCTGTTGCGTTGCACTGCAGCTGTATCTGACCACCTCGTTCAACGAACTGTGTGCCTGTCAATATTACCTCTAGGGACAAGGATGGGAAATTGATGTTTTAGCAACGATTTCAAACTGAACAACAAACAACACGGGGGAAGCATCAACTCATCAAACAAAAAATTAAATTGCGAAGGGCGTTGTTTATTTGAGGAGGAATAAAGCGACAGAAAAACAACATACCATTGAAAATCTGTTAGTAAAACTGAACACTGAAAAATAGAAGCATATGTGTTGACGTGGCCTCTGCGGAAATATATGATCAGATGGTAATACAATAAATATGAGTCATCCAACACTAACAATTACCTACCCCTACTGGTAACGATACAATCAAAGAATAGTGTATAATTTTTTTTTCAAATATTTGACGAGAATGTCCAACTAAAACTTAAATATAATATACACACAGGAAAGGGAAGTCTACAAATACACTGCAGATAGAGCACACAGGAAACTCTTTCTTTATTCTCGATTAGGTCATTGGAGGAAGAGAAGAATCTATAATGGTTAACAGTTTATTGTTGTCTCCCTCACAAGATTTTTGTGTTAACGTTATGACAATTATTATTTGTACATATTCTGTGTCTCCGACCCGTTAAGACATCAATTTTGGTTTCACAATTACCACAACTAAAATAAACTTTCAACCCATTTTGTTCAGCTGATATCTATAAAGCAAAACGTCTTTACTTTCAATGCATATATACATCCTTTTCTTGCTCATTTTCTAAATATTTCCCCTACTATAAAAATTTGATTAAGAGAATCAAATGAAAACATCTATATTATTAAATAGACTAGATAAATTAATAAGGTGATTATTTTGATCGCAGAAGGGGAACAAAGGGGTACGCTATTTTGACCGCATTTCGAACGAATCGCCAAAAACGCCAAACAAATATTTGTTTACTTTGGCCGCCTAAACATAATATAATTGAATTATTAATTTATCCACAGAGAGGCTGCCTCAGAAAACCGCTGGCAATGAACAGGAAGTTGAGCGACATGCACCAATAACAGCGACTACTTCAGGAGATGCGGCTGATGAATTCCCTGTTGGTTCACAGTATGTTAATACCAATATGTATTGATCAGGCTGAACAAGTGATTCTCTGAGGGAATAAAGCCGGTGCTAGGGGATATAGGTGAATGGGTAACGTTGTATGTGAGTGTACTGTTGTGGTAGCTGGGACAGAGAGAAGTGTGCGTCTGTATAGCATTGACCGCAGACAATGAGCCAGTGGGTAGGTAACTCATGCACAATTTAGAGTTAACGTGAATAGATGCGTTTTAAGCGTGGGTGCATGACTGCTCATCAGAAGTGTGTTACTCGGGTACAAGAGGGAAGATGTGAGAGGAAGGTTTTGCTTGGATGAATACTGACACTGTAAACTAACATGCTTGTCGTAAGAGGCGACTCAAGAGGGTTGGTTGGAGAACGGCTGCCTAGCCCGATAGTAACAAATACTGATAAATAATGAACAAATTTGCAGAAGGAGACTACATTCTTTGGTCATGTCATGAGAAGGTCAAAACTGTAGTACATCGTGACTGTGTTGGAGGGGAACTAGGCACACGGAGACCGAGAGAGAAGATGCTGGACAGTTTAACCTCATAGCATGGAAGATCATCTGTCAGAATGGATTAAAAGAGATTGGAGGTTATGGATAGACATGATTATCAACGCGATATGGCATGCACTATCAGAAGGAGACCAAGTCTGCAAAGGACCTAGAATCAGTTGGTTGAAGGTCTTATACGTTTCTGGTCGATGCAAGGTAGAGTAAATAGGTGAATGGAAGGGTGGATGGGCAATTGGACAGATTGACGGATTAACGGATATACATGACTGCTTACCTGGGTTTGTAATTGGAGGACCTGTCGATAAAACAAATAGTGAGGCGTTAATCAAGATCATCTATATCGCAAGCATACACGCACATACATAGACACATACACAGATACATATCGACCCATACAAACATACCACATACACAAACGCGCGCATGCACACACACATACGCGCAAGCCTGCAGGCAGGCTGAGAGAAACACACACACACATTATATATATATAATAGAAACATGCAAACATACATACATAGACACACATATATACATACACACTTACATACGTACGTGCATACGTACGTATATACATACACACATTTATGCGCGCATGGGCATTTATACACATATGCACACAATATATATATATATATATATATATATATATATATATATATATATATATATACACACACAAATACATAGATACATATCGACGCATACAAGCCCACACACACTCGCACACTGACCCACATATACACATGCAGACAGACAGACAGAAAGACAGAGACAGACAGACAGACAGTTAGACAGACAGACAGACAGACAGACAGACAGACAGACAGACAGACAGACAGACAGACAGACAGACAGACAGACAGACAGACAGACAGACAGACAGACAGACAGACAGACAGACAGACAGACAGACAGACAGACAGACAGACCGACAGAGAGACTAAACTCAAGCACTCACCCACAACGTTGAGCTGGACGTGTGTATGATAACCACCAATGGAAGTCAGCTGGCACTCGTAGAGTCCTGCGTCAGACAACTTGACTTTGGGCAGCACTAGAGTCCAGTCGTCCAGCTCTTCACTGTGCTTCACATGCTGGACAATGATTTCCATATCGGGAGTCCAGGCCATTTTCCCGATGGTCAGGAACTTGTCCGTGTCTACTTTACGCCAAGCAACCTGTAAATGTTTACATCACATATTATATTGTAATCTTGTAGAGATAATAAAACCATAATACATCTGATACGAAGCATATTCATTCCCACCCTGTGGTGCCAGTGCCAGACATGGTCACTCACAACAAACCATAAGAAACAATTAGTAACTATGGAAATGAGATGTCTCAAGGGGGCTGCAGGAGTGACCTGAAGAAATAAAATCACGAATGACGTCACAATGAAAAATGTCCGCACAGAACCATTGATAAATTACAAAGACAACAAATCAAATGGTTTGCCCACTTAGAGAGAGAATGCCCTGTGATACCAGACCATACAAGGCATACATCAAAAGAGAAGAGGCACGTAGAGCACCTAGTGGAAAGATTTAAAGATATGAAAAATGACCCATGAGAAACTCTTTAACGGCACGTTATGTATATGGTGGAGGCGGCCGAAAAGTCAGAGGCCTATATTTCCCCTGACACCCAAAGCGGTAAGAGAGTATATTTTCTCTTTATAAATCCACGTTTTTCGCTGATTTTTGGTTTAGTCTTGTTTCTGATTTTTGTTTGGTATCAGATTTGTTGGTTCTGTGTCACCAATGTACGTAGGGAAAACAAGAAGAGACTCAACCTCCCCAACAAGAATGTAGTAAGTGTCGATTAACTGGGGACTTCTTTCAAAGTCGGCGAGCATCTGCCTGAGAGGCAAGGAATCAACATGCTGCATACAAATAAGCCAGATCTGTAAAACAGATGCACACATAAAACTAATGTGCCTGGAACAAAGCTGATGTCTTAAAACCAGGTATTTCCGCCGGGGTGAACGCAAACAAATAACAACAACACGATTGACTGCACACGAGATAGACGGCTGTCTGACTAGCAACGACACAAGGTATGGGTTGTAAGATAAAAATCATAAGATGCTGAAATCAGACTGATTATGTAGTATACTGAAAATGGTTGATGGTAGTTAGCGTTCACCTTATGAGATGTTTGGTCTACAATCAGTATTGAGCGGGACCTAATGAGCAGCCATATGCTTAATTTAAGCCAATTAAGGTTTAGGTAGATGCAAGGCTGCGCTCATTAGCAATGAGAGAGGTAGTTGTTGTTGAAATGTCTGTATCTACTCCATAGAACATACAGTAATATTGGTCATAACTCGTAGAGTGTAAGAATAGACACACTCTTTGTGAACAAGGCTTCACTCAAAGTGACTAGGACGTAGAAGTTAGTTCTTTTTTTTTTAGTTCAATCCATTTCGGGGACTCCGAGACTTCATGGGGAGTTCCCGGAAAAGTCCAATATTATGGGAAAAAAGGTAGAAGCATTTGTTTAAAAATTGCAAATGATGTCAAACATATTATTATATTTCTTGCCATTTAGCATACAAAAGAAGCGATTATTATTGAAGTCCAGAGGTGAATGAACAAAACATAAAAAAACATCTTAGTAGGGAGACGGCAGTACGAAACCCAAGTTCAAGGTGTCTCCTTCGTGCCAAAGAACTGCATGGCTGGTGGGTGAACAGTCGTTAACGATGGCAAGCAGGTCGTTGTAGGGGCGACGCCTGCTGGTGGATGTAATGTCCTAAGTCCCTTCCCCAGCTAATAATGAGGGTACTGCTGGGGTGACCGTTTATTAACCCTCATATAATTCTTCCGGTCAAAATGGATGCTAGGCACGGCCACATTTTTTTTTTAAAGCCGGGGCAAACGTTATTTTTTTTTTTTTTTGGGGCCAGACGGTGGCCGTTGCTTTTTTGCTCCATTTGTAGACTGGGAGGATGTAGTTTCGTCGCCCAGCTTCTGAGTTGAGTGCATGGCGTGACACTGTGAGCTGCGTTTGTTTTTCGTTGGCACAGGAGCGGAGCTTCTGTGGGGTGACCCGTTTGCTATGAACATGAAACTAGGATTACCAGATTATCAGAACAACCAGAAATTTTCACCGGAGTT